CGCGGTACGGCAGGCGAGGTGCGTCAGCACTGCACTTTATATTGCATGCAGACGATCCTCCAGCCCTACCACTCCTTTCTTGAGCTCGAGTGGCTGCGCTTGCCGCAGCAAGATGACCCGGCTGCTTGTGTGGCAGCAAAGCCAAACGAAGCGACGTTGCAAGTTGGTACCGCGCGTGCATTCACTGCCCGCCCTACCCGAGCAATTCGGAGGGATTCGAAGGAATCATGATGAGATGAAACTCCGCACGCTCGGTCCCAGAATTATTCGGCGTGGCAGAACGTCAGCCGGCAATCTCGCCAAAACAAGATGTTTTCTTTGTTGTGTGCAACAGCCGGAATGAGGCTGCAATCACATGCAATCTGGACTGACCGGTGAAGCTCTGCGGAGCTCTGTCGGCAGGGAATGCGACCATGGCGATAGTATTCAGACCGCATGCAGGAGGGTCGAGTGACGGTACATGCCTGCACTTCATCACCATACCACGATACGTTCCTTGATACCACGTCGGCGAGGGGAAATGCATTGTTGTGTCTGGGCGACGTCGAAAGTCACCGTCTTCGCGGCGGTCAATGGAGCGCTCGCTTAAGGGTGGCTAGGTCGGAATAGGCTTGATGGCCTGCAGATGCAAGGTTCGAAAGTCGACCAGTTGCCTATCGCGGTTAGAGGAAGTCCAAAGTTAGGCGTGTCCCGGGAACTCAGACCGCTCCGCCCAGCAGACATCCACCACCCACCGCACATCGCACGACCGGCGTGCATATGCCGCTAACAATGGAAGCTACCCAAGGAATCGACGGGTATGCCGACGACCACGAATCAGACGTGAGCATAGCGCCCGAGAGCGTGGGCGACCAGCCTCTGTCTCGTTGCGGGCCGGGCAGTGCGCAGCTCCCACGCATCCTTTGCACCACCTGCGATCAAGCACGTCGCACGGGCACGCAAGCCATGTGAGCCATTCCCGCCTACGCTCGCTGCTTCCGGCATGGTCGCACCCCGCTTCAGGCGGTCACCAGCAACGGGGGAGGGCGCGTGGTATGCCCCTTTGGGACCACGGTGACGCGACCCCGGGTGCGAAAGAGGGCGCTCGTCGTCGTCGTAGGGCAGGTGTGCAGGTGGCCTGCATTCTTTGCACGGCGGACCGGTCAATGATGTGCGCTCGGCTCGCTGTCTTGCATGCCGGCTCCGTAGGGAGTTGCCCAATCGCAAGCCTCGCCTGGCTCGCGTACGACCCAACCAGTCCCTACCAGGCTACCAAGGCGACGTTATAGCGGACGGACCCACGAGCACCAACAAGCACCAACGAGCAGCAGATCAGAGGGGCGCGGAACACCGGTACACGCTACAGCGCCTGGCAGGTCCGAGTTGGGTTCCTTCCTACGACGGATCCACCGTCGGCTCCATGCAGCTGCAGGGGTTGGAGGCGGAGGGAAGAGGTACGCGCTAATTTGCCCGCGCCGGCGTAGGGCAGTACAGGGTCCCTTGCAAGCGTGGTTCGCGCTGCGCAACTGGCCTCTGGGGCCGCAAAGGTGTTTTATATAGGTAGGCGTCGACTGCGCCTCTCCACCGTCCAGTGCTCCTAATTCCAGCTCCATCCACCTTGCGACGTCAGACATCATCAGTGGTAGTCTTTCTTGTGGTGTGAGAATCCATAAGGCTGGCCTCGCCTCATGCTCCAACACCTCTGCTCGCTCCGGCTACCTGCGGATCCTTCCATACCAAGCCGCCATCCAACTCGGACCATCATCCCCAGCACCTCCAACACACAAACAGCATTGGGGAGCTCATACCATACATAAGACGTCGTCAGAAGCTCCAACTTAGCTGCTGTGCTTAGTGTTAGTCAAGGTACGTTTCGTTGCGTCCTTGGTTCCACCTGACGACGAGCTCTGTAGCATGCTAACAGCTAGACAGTCGCCAGAGACGACATAGCAGCAGCAGCATTCGCCGCTTAGCTGGCTCCTTTCGGACTTCAGAATGGCCACTTTCGCAGAACAATCACAATCGACCATGGCTTCAGACAACGACTTCACACTTTACCCATACCAGGAGGCGTGGAACGACACCAATTTCCTGCCTACCTCCTTCGCAGATCAACATTACCTCAACGCGACCTCGTTTGACCAGTCTCAACTACACCCATCATACGCGCAAGCGAATCAAGATCAACTTTTGCTGAACCAGAGCTACCGCCTTGCGAAGACTCATCTGCGACCCCAGAGCCCGAACTACTCCCCTTCCAATTCCGCATCACACTCCTTCGATTTCCGCAACCCGCCTAACCTCTCCTCGACCTCTGACTCTGGTACGTCAGTGCAAAGCACTATCTCGTCGGCAATGGGGTCTCCTTCTGTCCGACCTCAGATGTCGAATGACTGGCATCAGCAGCCCAATATGAGCATGTCGCGCCCTGGGATCGTTCAACAGGACAGTCACGGACAAGACATCTTCGGGACAACCGCTTTTGATGTGGATACGATTCCCATTGCTGACAAAGGCTGTGTTGGTGAGTTCAACGACATTTCCTCTTATCAGCTGCCGCCAAATGTTCCTTCGTTCAGTACGTCTCTTTTGCCATCGTCCTTTCAGTCCGCACTTGCTACAGATTCTTTCAATACCGAGACCTGCAATCCGGGAAGCATCGCAACTGTCGGGCCACAGCTTGCGCTGGATCCCTCGAGCTTCGCATCGCAGTCGTTGGCGACTGGTGCGTTCGGTGCAACGAGCCCAGAGGATAGCGTTTTCTTGTCACCTGGCACACCGGCTTCTGCGACCTCTCCCGTACTGGAACGTAACAAAAGCAAGCGCCGGAGCACGGCCACAAGTCCAGCATCACAGAGACTACGTGGCTCCTCACCACTCGCAACGGCAATTTCGTTCAACGAGGGTGGTCCGTCTCCTCGCCCACAAGCACCTGCTCCAACGCGCAACTCTCCTTTCTTTTCTCAGTCAAACGGTCATTTCGTATTTCCTCTTGAGTCTTCTTGTCCGTCCTCCTCATCTGTTGCTTTTCCTTCTGTACATCTTTCAACGAAAAGGACAATTCACTGACTTTGACGGCCTAGACCCCTCCCTGATACAACCATTCTCACCTGCACAGTTCAACGGCGCACAGTTCAACGGCGCACAGTTCCCAGAAATGCAGTCTCCACAACATACCACATACCCGCAAGCTCCATCACCGATTCCGATTCACAGCCCTCACGCGGGCAAAGCACCCTCGCCATACATGCAAACACATTCGTGGCAGCCCTACCAAGCTTATCCAGGCTCGCGCCGACAGTCGATCTCCTCTGTGCATTCACGACACAGCCAAGGCTCGTTCTCCTCCGACGAATCGAATAAAGGCCTCTGCCCGATCCCGACCTGTGGGCGACATGTCAAAGACCTCAAGGCTCACATGCTCACGCATCAGAACGAGCGCCCAGAGAAATGTCCGATCCCGACTTGCGAGTATCATACCAAGGGTTTCGCCCGCAAGTACGACAAGAACAGACACACCTTGACTCATTACAAGGGCACGATGGTCTGCGGCTTCTGTCCAGGAAGTGGGAGTGCGGCTGAGAAGAGCTTCAACCGCGCTGATGTGTTCAAGCGCCACTTGACATCAGTGCATGGGGTGGAGCAGACGCCGCCGAACGCGCGTAGAAAGAGCCCGACAATCACCGGTGGCAACAGAGCCTTTGGAGCACGAGAGGCCTCTGGGATGTGCTCGACTTGCGGCGTCACGTTTGCGAACGCGCAGGACTTCTACGAGCATCTCGACGACTGCGTGCTACGTGTCGTGCAGCAAGCCGATCCGAGCGAGGCTATCAACGAGAAGCTGTTGTCCTCTGTCGCTGAAGACCAGCAGGTCAAGGAGACAATGGAGAGGCACACGCTGCCCAGCGCCATCGACGTCAGCGCACCCACCTCCTTCGATGAAGAAGAAGTCGAGGACGACGAGGACGGCGGCGACGAAGACACCAAAGACACCACGTACGGCAACCGATCCGGCAGATCTGGCCGACCACCTCTCAAGTCACGCAAGTCTGGAAGTTCGAGTTCACAGTTGACACGTTCCCGAGCTATCTCCGGACAGCACCCCGGGAACAGCACATCGCACGTCTCCAGCGGTGGCGCCGTCACCAAACTCTCGCTAAAGAATCGCAAAGGCATGACGCTCTCCAAGAACGGCGTGCCTCTCGCCGGCACCACAATGACCGGAAAGGGCTCCAAGCGCCGTAAAAACTACCCTCTCTCGTGGGGCGCGGCGCCGGAGAAGATGAAGATGAAGAAGCGCGTGCTGTGTGTCTTTGATGGCCAGCGGCGCTTGTGGAAGGACGACATGATGCTTGATGCTGACCACGAAGTTCGCATTCCTATGCCTGGAGTCGGGGATGGGTGGGCTTGGGTCACAGACCTCGATGTGGCGACTCTGCAGCGCGCGGAAGGCTTGCACAATGCAACTGAAGAGGAGAAGGGTCGCTGGGATCCAGAGCTCGAGATGCTCCTGCAGTAAGCTCGCAAGATACGTGGCGTGGCTTCGCAGATATGGCCGGGGATGTGTACTTGTATGCTCTCTTGTGGGAGGGCGACTGGATGTCATGAGGGAGGAGGCCAATCAACATGGATGTCAGGAAGATGAATGTCGACGAAATGATCTACGACAGCGATCTGATGCGCATTTAGCATGGACACGTCCACCTTTGAATTGTTAGCTAGTAGGGGAGCGCTGGACGCACGCCATAATGAGTAGCTTTCTAAACCCTCCCTATCTCACTTCATGTGCACAAGGTCCAAGCGGCACGTTGATCGGAAATCCAAGATAAAGTGACGGTATAACACTGTCGTGAAACAAGTTGCGCTCCGAGAGGTTGCACTCTTTGCCGACCATACAATCACATTCACCACAGCGATTGCAATAGTTGCAACACCACAAAAGATCACACCTCTTCTGTCCAATGCTACAGGATGTGTACCTTAGATGTGGAGGTCGACATAGCAAAAAGATGAGGTTCATCTGACCACACCAGGATTCGAACCTGGAATCTCTTGATTCGTAGTCAAGCGCCTTGACCATTGGGCCATGCGGCCAATTCCGCAACAGCTACCAGGGCTGTTCATGTGACTGTGCGCTTGCAAATTGATAATAAACTCTGCATTTTTCCATGCCAACGACTGGAAGTGGACTGGATGTTCTACGTAGTACTATGATTGTGGACGGTGACAGGGCTGCTCAGAACAACCGAGGACGCGCAAAGTGAGAACGTCACTTCATCACAAGTGCAGCGTGCAACCTTTGAAGCCGGCAGTTCGAGCAAAACAATCTTGCTTTAGAAGGTAGAATGATGCTGCTGGCTAAGGTGACTTCTGACACCGCCGCAACATGAGAATCCATAGCATCGTAATGGGTGTAAAGAGATCATGAAGCGAGATTATGGTCAATCCTACACGACGGATTGCATACATGGGTTGATCTTGAATCAGCTGGTCAAAACCTCGTCAGCTGTCATATCCTTGTTTTACATAAACGGCAATGGGCTGCATCATATCACCCAGTTCGCCCTGCTATTAGCAGAATCTCAAGCCCGCTTATCCTCCAGCATCCAGCCAACAGATGTTTTAAGCGCACATTGGAGTGCCATCTACTTCCCAGTTTTAGTCTTCTTCTTCGGCCTCTCGACCTTCTCCGCAGTATCTGAGTCGGAGCCTGCGCCACCCGCATCCTCCATCTCCTCGTCACTGCCACCACCGGAGCTTTTCGCGTCCGAGTCGAACTCCTCCGCAACATCACTGTCGCTGTCGGCCTGGAAATCCTCATCCACAGACTCATCCTCATCCTCGCCCGCGCTGCCTCGTGCATCCACCACTTCTTCATCACTACTTGCCAGGTCGGGGTTGCCGTTGAGCGCCGCAGAAAGCATAGCGTTGTCGACGTCCATCTCGTTCTTCGTCTTGAGGTTTTTGATCTTAAAGAAGCTCTCCAACGGCGCTTGCTCCTCCCTGTTGATGTTGGAGAACTGATGTTCGCCCTGCCCATTCTTGAGCGTGACGGTAATGTCGAACGTGCGACTAGCACTCACGGCGCCGCCCACACGGCTCATAGTAATCACCGACACGTTATCGAAGCTTATGTACGTCGCCGGCTTCGGCACGAACAAGAAAGCACGATCCAGGCAGAAGAGGTGGCCTTCGTTTGCCTTGATCGAACACTTGACACCGCTTTGCATATGATGCGAACTGAAGTCGTGCGAAGGCTGGAAGAGCTTCTTGTTGGTAAGGCCGTGGAAGATCTTGGCGACGACGTTCCCGATAGGCGCCTCGTACCGCGATTGCAGCTTGCCAGCATATTTGTTCTTCAGATCCTCCTCTGTCATGTTGAGCTCGATGTTGACCTCTTCGTCGCGTTTGAACTGCATGACGATGAATGGGTACCTTGTCTGACCTTGTCGGAGTGGTGGATCTAGACCGATACACAGCAATTGGTGCATGTCGTCGGGCTTGGGTAGAAGGAAGAAGCGCTTCGCGCTGTCATACGAGATCTTGTAGTCGTACGTCTTGCCGCGCAATCGGAAGCTCTTCTCGTAAAGATCGATGTCGAAACGGCCACGAGGCGTAAGGTGCAGGATGTCCAGAAACGTCGCAAAGGTATCGCCTGCCACCTCGCCAATCTCTGCTTTGTCCATGAGCGCCTCGTAAAATAGGTTTGCCGCATTCTCCTCTTCCTCGCCGTTTTCTTGCGGCTCTTCGCCGTCCTCCCCAGCACCTTTCTTCCTACCTTTCCGCATTTCCGTGCCAGGGATGTAAAAGCGCATCTCTGTCAATTGGTCCACGGCACCGCCCATTTTCTTGCCCTTCTTTTGCGAGCCATTCACGCTATCCACCCCATCTTGCGGTAAACTGAACTCCACCGCCACCTCGTTCTTCCCTGCCAGGTTGGTATTCGAGATCTCCGTGTAAGGAATCCCAAATGCCGGCTGGTTCCTTACATTGAACGTCATCTCGTTCCGGGTCAGCTCGCTTTTGCCCCAGTTCCACCCTCGCAACGCATGCTCTTTCTGCACGAGCTCCACGCCGAACCAGACCTGGAAGCACTTTCTGATCGCATCGTAGTCATCGGGTCGGAAGCCATCCAGAAGGACAACACCTGCGTTCCGCGCGAACACCTTAAGCTCGTAGCCTCTCGCTGCTCTTGACCACGAACAGCTCTGAATGTCTTGCTTGTCGAGTGTGAAGGTCTGACCGCCGCTACCGCCTGCAGGTTTCCATCCTAGACCGGACTCAGCAACGCGACACTTTCCAGGCTGTTTGGAGAGATCGAGGTAAATGTCGTCAAATGACTCCCTGGAGATGTGTGTCAGTGTCCGTTTTTGCGCCTCGCTAGTATCTGCTGATGACTCACATGATGGTAGTCGCCGCTTATGAATGCCTCCGCGCCCCAAGACTCTCTCGCGCCGTGTTCTCGATGTCTTTGTTCCGCTCTAGATGGCTACTTCAGCGTTGTATCGTCGCCGTCAGTGGAAGGTGTTTGGGCCCAGATGTTCGATAGATGTCGAATGTGATGGTGCGAAGGCAATGTCGTGGTGAGTGTAGGACCAGTGAAGCTGTTTGAAATGAAGATGGAAGTGAAAGGCAGAAGAGCTCGCAGAAGGTCGCGATGCGCGACACGCGATGCGGGCTATCCCGTCCCCGCGCAGATCTCATGCCTGAGGCACCACAAACTCGACCTAACACGACTGGATCTTGAGTGGATCGCATCCACGCGGCTTGTCTCGTTTGTAGAAGACAACGGCTACCTGGTGTGCTGCTCGAGGCGCCATTGTAAGGGTACAAGCTGCCGTATTGATATGTCTTCTGCCCCACAACCATCTGCAGAACTACTTCGCCTTTTGAAGGAGCTGAACCGGTCATCTTTGCACCTGGGTGCTTTGTGAAAGAACACGCCAGTTCGGACAAAGGGCAAATGCAATTACCTAGGTAGCTTTACCAGGTAGGTGTTTAGCACGCATCCATAACGCTTCATGGACCTGCACGTATGCCCCTTCCGACGGTCTTCCACAAGCATCCCGTGGCACCGTCCCCACTGCCACTTCACCACTGTTTCCCGCCCTCTGCTAGAAACTCTTCCACATCATCGGCCTGAGGAAGAGTAGGCGTCTCCTCACCCGGATCGGTGACAACGCAAAGCGTTGCATTACACGTGTACGTGCGGTCGTTCGCCACGCCAAAAGATTTGTAGTTCGTCGAGCGCGAAGGCACCGAATACTCAGCCGCAGGGTCAATACCGACGGTGATCCACGCCAGGATGCCATCTTCGAGACGGTCGCCGATCTGAGCGTATCGAGCGAACGGATCGTGAGTTTCGGCAACAGCGTTGACGATAAAATCGTCGGCGTTCTTTACGATCTCGAGAGTGTTGGTGTTGTACGGTGACACCTCCGTGTTGATCGCTGTGAGGAGGCTCTGGTCGAAGAAGAATTGACCGACGTGCGTAGCGTTTGTCGTGAAGTTGCCGTTGCCGTTGAGTAGCGTCGCGTTGGTCCGAACGGTGGTATCGTCAGGAATGTGAGAAACAAGATGGATGTGCGTAGCTCGAGGGTAGTAGTGGCCCGGAAAGATCGACTCGAATTGGACAACGCCGTTCGAGTCAGTCCTGCTTCATGGTTAGTCTCATATAACAGCGTGGTCTTTTCGCTAGACGAGAGCTTACTGCTGAATGCCACGAAGGAAAGTCTCGTCCAAGTTGGAAGTATCGTTCTCGTTGCCATTGCCGGTTGCCACGACGCCGCTGTAGACCCCAGTAGCGTTACAATGCCACAAATCGACAAAGACTGCTGGGACCGGCTCGCAAGTGTTCACGTCGATGTACTGCACATCTATTGCCGAAGGTCAACATCGACCAGAGGAAGGCCAGTGCTCTGATGAGACCTACCGAGAAACAACGGCACACCATCCTGGTCCTCGCTGACATCATGGCGGATGAGTTCCCCGTCGACGTAATACCTGTCATTGTCATTATACTGAGCGCCGGCTGGGGCCAACGCGAAGATGGACAAGATGAACTCACGGGCCGTACGTCGTCTCAGGCGCAAGAAGACAGCTGGAATTGTCAGCGAACAGCAGAGTCTCGTCGTCGCCGAACGTTGCGGCCGAGGCGTGAGAAACGTTGTATTCCGTAAAGTCCCGTCGAACGAACTGCGTCTCTGGAGAAAGCGAACGCTTCGTGCGAGCCTTCTGTGTGAACTGAGCACGGCGCTGGATCGCAGCGTCGAAATGTCCGCGGCGGTCGAGATTGGCAGCGCACGATCGGAATGACTTTGGCTCACGCTTGATGAAGTCCTTGAGCTCAGCAGCCTCCCTGACTACATCGTGGCCGGGGTGGGCAACGACACTGTTGATGGCGAGAAGACTCGCGGCGAGAAGACTCGCGGCGAGAAGGGAGATAATGTGAGGCATGACACGATTAGATGGCAGGCAATGTTGAATGAGAAAGGGATGGTGACCGCAAAAGAAATGATTGAACAAATAGTCTACCTTCAGGTCCGTCAGCGCCTGTGGTGCAGGTCGCGTTTCAATGGTTTACGGTACTGCCCTTCTCTCAGAAGTGATGCACAGTCGTCGTCAGCCTCTCAAAGAGTTGCTCAACGGGCGTATCGTGCAGGACCGGTCTGTTTGGTGGACCCGGTATGTTACCGACTCCGTACCTTAGGCTCTGTCAATTTCTGTTTGGTAGAATCGGTGGTATACCGGATGTACCGTATTTGCCAAGGTTCGCCTCGTCACGAAGAGTGCTGCGGACAGCCGACGTCTTGGCATCATGTTACCTGGATAGGGCAGGATTAATGCCTCTAAAGCACCTTAGACGTGCGCCCAAACGAAAGAAGTTACAGACAACCCTAGACCTGACTCAGCTGCTCCAGCCGAACCCCTGATTTGCGTGATCTTGGCGATCGCCCGAGCGGACTTCGATACGTAGAGAGGTAAGCAGGAATTGCGCGACTAAGAAAGGCCTTCTCGCACGAGGTAGGCTAGTCCCTGAACATCTTCACAGCACGGCGATGTTCACGGCCAGCAAGCTCTATCATCGCTCGTTC